TGATCATCATAGATTTATTTCAGAAACAAAGGCTGGTTTAACGTTTGAAAAAATAAAAGTAGTTTATAAAATGTTATATAAACAAAACATATATCATTCCAACTGATACAAATTAGTAAAATGGTACAATTGATAAAATCTATTAGAAAATGAGAATATTATAAAACTGCTTTGAAATGAGATAGGATGAAGAAAACTATCAAGATTTGTAAATATGAATAACACGTTGAAGTATTTTTTGCCAAAACCAGAAAACGATACATATGATACACACAGAACTTTGATTGCAGCTTCTATTCAACTATGGGTATAAAACCCTAGCCAGTGAAAATAAATGAAAATAAAACTAAGTTATAGCACATGGATTTAAAAAAATAAAAGTGTGATGATTTGCAGATAAAATGTTCTTTATATAGAACACCCAGAAAAAAATCAATAGTTGACATAATAGATTTAAATATATAAAATCAGTGTAATAAGTAAATATAAAATAAAAATGCAGATATCAGTTGTATTTCTATTTGTAACAACAAAAATTACTAAAGGGAATTTTAGAATCAGGATGCCATTTACAAAAGCATGAATATAAAATACCTACATTTCTGTATGACTTCAATCGCACAAAATACAAAATACGATAGAGAGAAATTAAAGATAACACAGTACATTGAAGGAAGGAAACACTTTATATTGATTAGAAAAGTCAATATTATAAAGAAGCTCATCTTTGAAAATTAGAGAATAAATGCAGTCACAAACGATCCCATGAGAGGCTCTTTTTTTTTCCTGATAGCTTTATTGAAGTGTCATGTACAAAGCATAAATTTCATCCACTTAAAATGATTAAAAATCAATGATGTTTAGTATATTCACAGAGTTACAACCATCACCACTATTGGAATTTAGAAAGTTTTCATCACGACACAAAGAACGTTCTATCAATTAGTGATCACCTCCTATTTCCACCTCCCTTAGGCATTGGCAACCACTATTCTACTTTGTGTCTCCATGGGTTTGACTGTTCTTGATACTTCATAGAAACTGACTCATATAACATGCAACTTTTAGAAAGGCTGAATACCACAAATATCATGTTGTGCAAAATGAGCCCGACACAAATGCTGGGATATCTGTACTTTAGTAATTGTGTGTATCCTACTTCAATAATTGACTTAGAATTTTCTTATTAGAGCAAATAATGTAATTCATTTCAAGATTTATGCAATCATAATATTATTCCTATTTTGAGAAATATAAAATTTATCTGATGCACTGCAAACGCAAATGCTTTACTTCTAAAGCTTATGCTTACAATGATATATTACTGTAGATTCACACTGGTTTGATTTGAGTCCACGTGCATGTAGCATTGCACAGTTGTGTTCAGCATTATCGGAGTTTTTTATCCTGCAATGGGAGAAAAATCCATATTCTGTTACATTTTAAGCAAATGATTCATGAGACAAAAGCATTTTCTATGTAGTGTAAGAAAAGAATTTTATGGAAAATGGTAATTAAATTTCTCATAATATTAGTAAGAGTCATTATTCTGAACACTCAATAGCATGGTTCCCCTTCATCCACGGGGGATATGTTTCAACCCCAGTGGATGCCTGAAACGGCAGATAGTACAGAACCTATAGAGAGATTATGTTTTCTCTACACATTCGTAACTACGATAAAGTTTAATTTCTAAATTAGGCACAATAAGAGATTGACAACAATAACTACTAATAAAAAAATTATAGCAATATGCCAACAGCACTACTATTGTGCTTTGAGGATATTCTTAAGGAAAATAGTAAGAGTGGCTTTTTAATAAAAACAAGCTCTGCAATTCCCTGGTAGTCCATCTCAAGCTTGTCCAACTGGCTGCCCACGGGCTGCATGTGACCCAGGACTGCTTTGAATGTGGCCCAACTTAAATACATAAACTTTCTTAAAACATTCTGTGATTTTTTTTTTTTTTTTTTTAGCTCGTCAGCTATCATTAGTGTTAGTGTATTTTATGTGTGGCCCAATACTATTCTTCTTCCCATGTGGCCCAGAGAAGCCAAAGATTGGACGCCCCTGGTCCATCTCATAACCAAGAGGGTTACTAGCTGACCGATGAGCAATTGACATATAGGGACTACTATGGTCTATTGTAAAATAATTATGTCAACATTTCACTAACTTTCCACATCTTTCTTCATGTCAATGATTCCACATAAATTTATTCATATTAGTCTTCTGAATTTATCCTTTATATATTTTTTATATAGCACCGTACAAAACAACTTACTCATGTTTGAAAGTCAGACCGTTTATTGTCACCCATGGATGATGACTGCTGTTACGAAACACACCAATCCATGAGGAAGGTAAAATGGCAGTCAGAAATTTCTAAAAGAAAAGAAAAAATTTTCACTTAAATAATAATTATGAAAACATTATAAAGACAATATATTAAAGTTGAAAATCACTATTTGCAGTACCAAAAACTTTCATAAATGTTTATGATTTTGATATAAATGAACTCTTCAATGTTTATACTTAGTACTTTCATTCTTATTCTCATGTTAATAAAGACATCTTAATTCTTGCATTATAATAGTTACCCCAATTGACTGAAAAAACACAGGAAGGATTTAAATAAGTTTCCTGATACTGTGCATTCATTCCTCCAGATACTGTGACAAAATCAATCTATATTTGCACTATATGTCCCAGAGTTGGAGATTTAGAAGAGAAATGAGGCCGGGCGCGGTGGCTCAAGCCTGTAATCCCAGCACTTTGGGAGGCCGAGACGGGCGGATCACGAGGTCAGGAGATCGAGACCATCCTGGCTAACACGGTGAAACCCCGTCTCTACTACAAAATACAAAAAAACTAGCCGGGCGAGGTGGCGGGCGCCTGTAGTCCCAGCTACTCGGGAGGCTGAGGCAGGAGAATGGCATAAACCTGGGAGACAGAGCTTGCAGTGAGCTGAGATCCGGCCACTGTACTCCAGCCTGGGTGACAGAGCGAGACTCCGTCTCAAAAAAAAAAAAAAAAAAAAAAAAAAGAGAAATGAGAGGTTGTCATTCAGAAATAAATGACATAGAAGCTACAGATTGTGTTTTCTGGGCACCACACCATTCTTTAATTAGATAAGCCCTCACTTTTTTATCTGATTTGGTTTTGGTGGAATAACAGTGGTCCTGACCAGGTGGTGTAGACTCATCTCTCTCTGCTACTCCCTACTAAAAATAACTATTAAACTCTAGGATTAATGAAAGGCAAAAGCAATGGAGAACTCTGAAAGGTGGAAAGAGGAAAATGACATTGTCTGGGACCCTAGCATCAGGATTCAACAAAGTATCTGAGCGAGCATGTTAAGTTTCCCACCCGAGAGAAGAAGGTGACCTAGGCCTGCTGTTTCCCCGCACCCAAACTGGCAACAGGAGGAGGCCCAGCAAAGCTCACTCCTGCTCTGTATTGAAGGGGAGTCCCATCCATACCACCAGGCGAGGCTGGTACCACTGGCAAGGATGAGCTACCAGGAGACCTGCTATCAATACAGCCAGAGGAAGTGCTTCCTTCTCATTCCAAGAGACACCAGGGTGGATGTGGGTGAGGGGGATCAGCAAAGCCACCCCATGACTACCAGTGCACCACCCAGGGTCCTCTTTGTCCCTGAGGGCAGGAGACCCACTTCCCCATCCAGAGACAAGGACTCAATGGATTCTTAGTGTTCTTTGTACATAGTACAGCAGTGAACAGTAACATACTACTGATAACTGCAATAATATGGAAGAATTGCACAAATATCAGATAGGAGTGAAAAACACAGACATGAAATTCACACTGTATGATTCCCTTTATATAAATTCAAGAACAGGCAAATGTTATTTATAATATTAAAAGTCAGGCAGTGTTTTGGAGAGGAGTCAGGGTAAGTGACGGGTGTACACACAGGGGTGGAACTGCTAGAGCTGGAAACTTTTATTTCATGATCTGTCTTATATCGCATGAGTTCATGCACTTTGCAATCAATCTGCATAATCAGATCATATCATTCCTGATAAAATTAGATGCAACATTTATTGTGTATTCAAAGTATTTATAGAAGCATGGTTTTCCTTGAAAACAAAAACTGAAAATAAAAGTACATTAGCAGTATATAACTTTAAACACATTATTAAGTCAATCAATTGAATATTACATAAACTTGAAAATATATAAGATAATTATATGTACACACACATGGATGTTTCCTACAAATGTATTATTCACTGAAAGAAGCTTTTCATAAAATGTTTGAAACATTTATATCTTACCATTTCTTCTTCATTATCTATAGAAAGCAGACTGGAGTTCTTTGAAGTACAGGCCAGCAAACTCTCTGCCCAAGTTCTTTTCTCCTTGCCAATGTAATAACAACTGTTGGAATATGTAATCCACTCCTCAGGACAATGGCCACAGTGACGTACTAAATAAAGATATGAATTACTATGCAGAACAATATGAATGTTTACAAATGAAAATTCGTTTACATATTTGCAACAGTATAAACCTATATGTGCTTAACATATTTATGCATCCTTACCGGCTTATAAATATATATTTTTTAATAACCGAGTCAGTCATACACACATGCACAGACAAGGGTTAGCCTGTCATCCCTAATCGTGTTCCCATATAAAGCAAACCAACAAACAAAAATACACTCTACACATGTCTTGAACATCACTGATACACAACTGCTTTTTTAGGATAGTAAAATTATTCATTTCATATCATCTCATAGCAGTAGGAAACTTCTGTTAATTGGGAGAAAGAGGGTAGAATGATTTTAATTGAGTATTTCTACTTATCGGAGAAAAGGAAATGCTGCCTTATAATCTTTGTTTATAAATATTTATGGCTGAATTTTATGGCTTATTTTCTGCAAAAATGCCATCATTCTTTTACATGCCTTAAACCAGACACAAAATATAAATTGTACTAATATCAGAACATTTAAAATAAATATGTACCTTTCTGGGTTCTTGTATTCGGGAAAGAATTGTTCTGCTCCAGGACTGTAATAGAAGAATTAAAATGAGTTTTATAAAAACTAATATCTAGATAAACCATAATGAATTTAGTTTCTTACTTTGAAACTTTGTGTGTTATTTAAAATGGGAACAATCTTTAATAAAATTCACTTTTTCTATAAAAATAAATGAATAGATCTTCGAAAGAAATATTTTTAAAGACTTTAGCACTAAACTTCACCATCTCTTGTAGTATTTGACATAACCACTTTCAAAAATTAATTCGTTTTTCTAAATACTTTTCTCCTATAGCATGCATTTTAATTATGAATTCAGAAAATACATCGTATGTGTATGCGTGTATATATATATATAGATAGGTTACACACACACAAAAATAAACACATATTCTCTACAATGATTTTGTTATTTATGTTGTGAAAAATTCAGAATAACCATATTACTTTTGGGTCCAAATTATACTAATATCTGAACGTTGAAAATAAAAATGTACCTTTCTGGGTTCTTGTATTCAGGGAAGAATTGCTCTGCTCCGGGACTGTAATAGAAAAATTAAAATGATTTTTGTAAAAACTAATATCTAGATAAACCATAACAAGTTTAGTTTCTTACTTTGAAACTTTGTGTGTTATTTAAAATGGGGACAATCTTTAATGAAATTAACTTTTTCTGTAAAAAATAAATGAAGTAATAGATCTCTGAAATAAACATTACAATGAGAGTTCTATTCTTCAACAGTATGAAATATTTTGAGGCACTTCCAAGCATTAAAGTAAAATGTTCCCGTCTAATCTTTCAAGAATGTGCTTACAAGGAATAAGAACTATTGTTTTTAACACAGTGGCCATCAGGACAATGCAAATGATTCCCAGGACCTCAGCAGTGAGCTTCTCTGGAGGTGGCAGTAAACCTGCAGGGAGAGAAATAGAGGCACTGAGAGAGGGGAGATAGAGAGTTGATTAGGATTCCATACTAGAGAACCCACATGCACAGGGAAACATAATGATAACTTCTGGCCTCTAAATCTACATCTACTCTGGTAATCTTTCTCTCAGAATATACCAGTTCATTTTCAGGAAACATAATGTTCCATGAGTGGATTGCCGATTACGGTTGAACAATGTCCTAATAAAATTAGTCTTCTGATGTCATATTAGAATATTAGATCCCAATTATGAACTCTGATTCTCACAAGTACAAAATATTCCCTAATCTTTCCCCACCCTTCTGCACTCAACTGTACGTCCTAGAACAATAATATCGAAGATCTATTTAATGTGTTACCTTGGCAGTCATATATTTGATCAATCCCTTGATGATTCAGAGAAGGATTTTGAAGGTTTAATTCTACTTGGAATATTTCCTGTTCGCTTCCTGAAATGGAGCTTTTATTGCCTTTAGGTTTCCTTTGCTGCCTCTTTGGATCCTGGGCCAGACTCACTTCTGAGAAGGTTCCTCTTTGTTTATTCATCTCTGCAGCTGTGTGATGTCAGGGACTGTGCTCTATGATAACTGTACTTAAGAAGCTATAAACGGTGTATATTTTGATAGGATACCTGGTATAGGCAATTTGCATATGTTGGGGCTGAGCAGTAATGTTTACTTTGCTGTTAACCAATGTAAAATTCTGGTACTAATTTCCTAAAGCTTTAAGCAAAAATCACATGATACAATTGGTATTTTTTTAGAGATATTCTGTATTTGACATAATATTACTAGTGGAAACAATAAAAACATTAAACCTGTGAGAAATAGGAAGTTCATGAAAAAAATTTGTATTAAATTAAGTTTAAATTCTTCAAAAATATTTAGCACCAATAGAATGCATACGTTAACAATTAAAATACTGTATTTAGAAATACAAATACACTATTTCTTATGATAGTTTTAAGATTCCCTGATGGTTAAGCATATTGTGCCATAAGATAAAATAGTTCTGTTAGCATATAGAGTAACTTCTTATACTAAAAATTCATTTTTTAAAAGGACATGAGGTATTGTCAAATGATTTTTTTACTAAATTAGGAAATTGGAAAATTCATTAAGATTTTAAAAATATATCTTATATCTTGTAAAACAGTACATTACTCTATGCATAAAGTAAATACTATTGAAAACAAAATGCATTTTTAAATTGCTTCTTTTACACAAGAAATTGGTAATTGATTTAAGGACTTAAATTGGAAAACTTAAAATGATGAATAAACGTGTGGGCCATCTGTGGAAGAACAGTGTCCAATCAAACTTTCAGAAAGCTCCTATGGTTGTAGAAGTCAGTGAAGGTCGCTTTGGTTGTATAAGTAATTGTAATAGTTCAGATAATGTAATTTAATAATCTAGTCAATGAGCTCTGTAGTCAGTGAGACTACAATTAATTCTAGCTTTGCAAGTTATAATGGGTGACCTTTACTAAATTACTGCGTGTCTACTAACCTAGTTTACTAATCTACATTGGGAAAAATAATTTATAAAGTATACTACATGCAAAACTAAACACACAACCTGGGACATGTTAGCACTGAATATATAATATATATTTTGCCTATTTTTAACACAATTGCCATTTTATTATTTCTGATTGGCATTAGAGTGTGTAAAATAACTCATTAATTAGGCATCTCATGTCAGTGTGGTACATCTGTTTTGCAATGTTTGGTTCAATTGTTTCAGGTCTTCCAATTGTTTATAATTCAGGTCAGATTTGCATTTTATGGAAATGACTTCATCCTTGCTTTTATTAAAAATTAAAACTACTTTCATTAAATCCAGGTATGAGATTGAGAATTAATGTTTGACATTCACAATTTGAGGTATCCATTTTTAAAAAAATTTTTAGAGGTTGCTCTAAATGTAATATACAATTAAGCCAGTAAGGATTACAAAATCCAAAATGAATTGTTCATTGTCATGATGGTTATGGGTTTCACTCTGAATTACATTGATTGGCAAACCTATTATTATGTGTGCATCTACTTGAGTGATTCTCCACAGGCAATAACTCTAAGAAATTCTCAAACGTATTTTATATTTTGGCTCGTTTTTCACCTTGAATTATTCACATGAAGAGAGTTCTACCTTGATTTTACTCTATATAAACTTTATGTCAGGTGCATCACAGTCAGTATTTACAATCTTCTACTAAATGAGATGAGCAAGTAGAGAAACAGGGAGAGTAGCAACACATACCTTCTGTCACCAGAAAGCCACACGCCCTTCAGTGGAGAGGTCAGGTTACCTCCTAAAGACACAAACCTTATCTGTGATCTTCACAGACTGCCCTTTGAAGGGTCAGAGTGAGGCAAGAGTGGAAAAAGTAGATTCCTCGCCAATGTGTCACTCCAGATTTGAACAGGAAATTCTCACCCTAGGGCTATTTTGAATCAGTTTATCTCATCACACACTTTAGAATATAGGAGACTTAGGGTGGCTAGTGTGTCATTTAGTTTGTCCATTTTCAAGTGCCTCTTAGAAATTATTTTTATAGTCGACAGGATGGGCGGAGAGCAGAGATTTGACCCATGGAGTTGATTGTTTCCTTCTCAGTCACAAACACCAAAATCTTGTAACTTTTTTAAAGTATCATAGATGTTTACTTTCTACCTTTAGACAAGCTGCCTAAAAGTTGGCATTATATACTTCTTTATCATACACCTCTATCACTGTTATCATACTAAAAAATTTAAATAATCTTATCAATCGGAATTTAATGTACTTGTCACTGTTTTCAGAAAATGCTACGTTTTCAACTTTACTGTAACTGACATGAATTTTCAAACTTATCTTCTTGATTTCTTTGCCGTAGTTCTTAAAATTCCCTCATTCATTTTTCTTCTTTATGTAAGTTAACCAGATTCCTCTGATTAAAATAAATGTCTCTTGAAAGAATAAAATATTAAACAATACTGAACTATATCTTTATGCCAGAGACTGACTGATCTAATAAAAAACTACCTACAATATTGTTCACCGATTCCTTCTCTAATCATGACTTATTGTCTCCATTTTAATGGAAATATTTCTTGTAAATGATTAAAGCTTAAGTTAAACTAAGTAGGGAGGTAAAAGCAATTTTTAAGATATCACCTACTTAAAAATGGGGAGGACAGAAAACAGAGATTTTTTAAAACATAAGTAAAATGATACATGAGTGCCGGGGTGTGGTAGCTCATGTCAGTGATCCCAGGATCCAGAATCACTGGAGCTCAGGAGTTTGAGGTCAGCATGATACACAGGATGAAACCCCATCTCTTCAAAACAAAAAAAAAAAAAAAATTAGCCGAGGATGCTGGTGTTTGCTTGTAGTCCCAGCTGCACTGGAGGCTGAGACTGGAGATCGCTTGAGCCCTGGAGGTCAAGGCTGTAGTGAACTGAGTTAGTGTCACTGCACTGCAGCCTGGCTGACAGAGCCAGACCTTGTCTCAAAAATAAGTAAACAAAAATTTAAAAAAAAAATGGTATACGAATATCAGGAAAAAAACTATAAATTATCTAGTCGTATTAAATAAAATCTTTTCATCATTTATTTTCTATCAAGAAAAGGGTGAATGTTTATGCATAATTCTATTGCCCAGGCTGGAGTACAGTGGTGCCATCTCAGCTCACTGCAACCTCCACCTGCTGGGCTCAAGTGATTCTCCTGCCTCAGCCTCCCGAGTAGCTGGGATTACAGGCGTGCACTAGCATGCCTAGCTAATTTTTTGTATTTTTAGTAGACGAGGTTTCACCGTGTTAGCCAGGATGGTCTCAATCTCCTGACCTCGTTATCCATCTGCCTCAGCCTTCCAAAGTGCTGGGATTACAGGCATGAGCCACTGTGCCTGGCCATTCTCTAAAATCTAAAAAGTTGAAATTTAAATCTATATTTATTTCTTTGCACTGAGAATTATTATTTGCCCTTCCATCAGAATGGCTAATGTTGGTAGGTGTATATGTTTTTCTGTAAAATATAATGTAATATATTTTCACAAAATAAATTAATAATGTTATATGCATATATGCTTGTGTTTATATTGTATCTATTTCTACTACAAGTACATTTTTTTATATGTACATTTTATTACATTTTCATTAACTAGGTTTTTTCTGTTAGTCATATTATGGAATTAAAACAGTAAAATCATTCACTAAGGATGCCACATAACATAACATATCATTCACTAATGTTTTCTGTTTCAGTTTGAAATACTGATGTCTACTACTGCTACAAACATCCACTTGGAGTTTTCCATTAAATAGTGTTATACTGTTATTGTTTGCTTAATGACAGGGATACTTCTGAGGAATGTGTCTGTAGGCAATTTCATCCCTGAGTCAACACCATAGAGTGTATTTACATAAACCTAGATGGTACAGCTACTACACACCTATGTTATATGGGATAGCCTATTGCTCCAAGGATACAAACCTGTACAACATGTTACTGTAGTGAATAACGTAAGCAATAAACAGAATGATAATTTTTGTTTATCTAATCATATATAAACATAAAAAAACAGTAAAATATCATTTTAAAAAAAGGGGAAAAAATGGCATGCTTTTATAGGGCACTGACTATGAATGAAGCCTGCGGAAATGGCATTTTCCCTGGGTAAGTCAGTGAGTAAGTAGCAAGTGAAAGTCACGGTCTAGGATATTACAGCACACTACTGCAGGATTCATAAACTCTACACTAGGGTACACTATAGTTATGCAGCACTTTTTTTCTTTAGCTAATAATAAATTAACTTTAGCTTACTGCAATTTTGCTGGTTTCTAAATTTTTCAATTTTTGAAAACTTTCTGCCTCTTTTTAAATATCCTTTATTTAAAAACAGAAATTGCACAGCCTTAAAAACTATTTTCTTTATATTCTTATTCTACAAGCTTTTTTCTATTTTTCATTTTAATTTTTCTTTTTAACCTTCTAAAAAAAACTAACACAAACACACGCATTAGCCTAAGCCTACACAGTGTCATCCAGATCAATATCACTGTCATCCCCTCCACATCTTGTCCCACTGGGAGGTTCAGGGGCAATAACACATGTGCAGCCGTCCTCTCCTATGGTAACAAGGCCTTCTTCTGGAATTCCTCCTGCAGGACCTGTCCAAGGTTGTTTCTCAGGTAACTGATTTTGCAGAAGTAAAAGGAGTACACTCTAAAATAATAATTAAAAGTACACTACGTTAAATACATAAACCAGTAACACTGTTTATGTATTATCATTATCAAATGTTATGAAGTATATGTAATTGTGTGTGCTATACTTTATTCCACTGGCAGCATGGTAATTTGTTTACAACAGCATCACCACAGACATGTGAATAATACACTGTACTGCAACTATTGCTATGACATCACTAAGTCATAGGAATTTTTCAGCTCCGTAATAATCTAATGGGACCACTATCTATGTGCAGTCTGTCATTGACCAAAACATTTTGTGCCATGTGACTGTATATCATGTTCTTTGTTAATCGAAATACAGGTTTCTACTGTTTGAGCATTTAATGTGAATGAAATTTATGCTTATACAAAGGCACAATAAATATATAAAAAGAAAACAAAAATTACACAAGATAACTGGAGTAGAATTTACTGTATATGATGTGTGTATATATATATGTTTATATGACCTAAATACACACACACACACACAGAACTTACAATGATTAATATTAGGTGTCAACTGGATTGGATGGAAGGATGCCTAGATAGCTGCTAAAGTGTTGTTTCTGGCTGTATCTGTGACGGTGTTGGCAGAGGAGATTGATATTTGAGTCAGCGGACTGGGCGAAGACGACCCATCCTCAATGTGGGTGGACATCATCCAATGGCTGCCAGAGCGAGTAGAACAAAGCAGCTAGAAGAAGGTGGGGTAAGCTGGCTTGCTGAGTGCTCGACTTTAATTTTTCTCCCGTGCTGGATGCTTCCTTCCAACCCCCCTGCCCTTGGACATCAGACTCCAAGTTCTTCAGCCTTTGGAGTCTCTTGCAATTACACCAGTGGTTTTACAGGGGCTCCTGGGACTTCGGCCGCAGACTGAAGGCTGCACTTTTGGCTTCTCTGACTTTAAGGCTTCTAACTCAGACTGAGCCACTACTGGCTTCTTTCTTCCCCAGCTTGCAGATGGCCTATTGTGGGACTTTGCCTTGTGATTGTGTGAGCCAATTCTCCCTAATAAACCCCCTTTCATATATACACGTATCCTCTTAGTTCTGTCAGTCAGGAGAACCCTAATGCCGAACGTACATATGTATTACTGTGACTATTGCAAATAATGGCAATATCTGGTTTCCTATGGGTTATGGGTAAGTTGGAATTCAATAAGAACTGAAAATGTACTTTTAATGTAACATGAAATAAAATAATTTTCAATGAATTTAAGATATTAGAGTGAATTAGTTATTAATGAAAATAAAATTTAAATATCTTCAATAGATTAAACACAGATTCCCAATGAAAACTTGGATATTCAAAAAGAAGACTTAAAGGAATTACGTGGATATACCGAATTGGATATTGAATAGTGTATTAATGACAAAGTTTCCAACACTGAAATAAATATTTATATTAGAATTTGGGGAGCAGATACAGGCTAATTGGTAAACAAAATGGAGAGTAATCTTACTTTGTTTGTACTGGTATAATAAAATATCACAAACCAAGCAATGTATTAACCATACAGATATATTACTCACAGTTCAGAGAGCAGGGAGGCCCAAGATCAAAGTGCCAGCAGGTTTGGTGTAAATTGTATTAAATTAACAAGTTTGCATGTGGAAAGTAAACAATGAAAATATTTATTATGAAAACATAAGTGAACAACAGAGTTTAAACACTTGGTAATGTTCAATCAGAATGTAATAAAATTAAGTTATAATTAACACCTGTGGTTCTATATTTCAATACAAATAAAATACATAAGGATTATCTTTTAGAAATTGATAATTATATTAAGTAGAGAGTAATTTGAAGGTAAAAGCAAAGAATGTATATATTCAGTAATAACTGTTGTCTTTATGAGACATTCCTTTCATGTAAGCATAAAGAAAAATGAATATGAAAGTAGAACTACCATATGATCTGGCAATCCCACTCCCAAGTATATAGCTGTAATCCCATGTTTGTTGCAGTACTGTTCACGATAGGCAAGATGTGGAAGCTACCTGAGTGCCCATCCACAGAGGAATGGACAAAGAAAATGTGGTATATATAAACAATGGAGTAATATTCAGTCATAAAAAGAATGAGACCCTGTCATCTGCTACAACATGAATGGAACCAGGGGTCATTATGTTCAGTAAAATAAGCCAGTCACAGAAAGACAATCATCACATGCTCTCACTTACTTGTGGGATTTAAAAATCACAACAATTGAACTCATGGAGAGAGAGACTAGAAGGATGGTTACCAGAGATTGAGAAGGATAGTGGAAGGGTAGTAGTATGGAGGTGAAAATGCTTAATTAATTTCTATAAAAATATTTACAAAGGATGAATGAGACCTAGTGTTTGATAGCACAACAGAATCACTACAGTCGATAATAATTTAATTGTATATTTTAAAATAATTAAAGAATATAATTAGATTGTAACACAAAGGATAAATCCTTAGGGAGATGGAAACACCATTTTTACATGATGACATTATTATGCATTGCACGTATGTCTCAAAACAACTCATGTACCCAAGAAACATATACACCTACTATGTACCCACTGAAATTAAAATTGAAATATTTAAAAAAGAAAAGATGAAGATAAAATATTTAAAAACATACCATGCCCATGAACTGGTAGAACACTATTACAGTTAATGTGCTGTCTTAATATAAGGCAAGCCCTTTACTGGAATTGAAGAAGCATGCTTCATAATGTTAGATTAACTTCCCAAACCACTAGTAATATACATTTTTATCATTGCATGTACCTAATGATACAAGTTCAACATATAATTGAAGAAAGTGAATAAGTAAACAATCATAAATGGGATTTTAAACACTTTTCTCTCAGTGCTTAACACATAAACAGGCCAGGGAGCCTATAGAAAGATTAGAACGAGACAAGTAGTTATCACTCATAAGCACACACTCACACATATGTAGCATACTCACATATTTAATTTCACATATTTTTCTCAAATACACTATAAACTCATAACTCTAAGCATATTAGTAAAAAATATAGGACTACGATTTCAATGTAGTGCCACTAGCCAAGCTTGGCCAGTGGACAGTTAAAAAATAGCTATTCTAACACAGCATTAATTAATACAAAATAAAGAACATGTAAAACCAGTTTCTCAGCACACTAGCCACATCTTTGTGTACAAAGATGAAGAATATTTCCAGCTTCATAGAAAATGTTCTAACTACAGTTTACCTACCACAGAAGTCAATAAAAAAATCTGCCAACCTTACATGGTTTTAAATTCAATAACACATGTCTAAATAACATATGGGTGAATGAAATTATCAAAGTGAATGGTCACAAATTTTATATGAATTATAAGGAAAAAAGAAAATCTTTCTTGTAAAAACTGATTGCCCTCAATGTACATATATTACAAAAGATGGCCTAAAAATTAAATTACCTGTGAATGCACTGAAATAAATTAAAAATAGAAAAGCTAAAATTAAATACAAGTAATGTATAAGAAAAAAATGAATAAACAGTAAAAAATCACAATAAAGAATAATGTTACAATAGAGAGAAGAAAAAGGCCAAAGGTATTTTCATTGAAAATGCCTTTAAAGTTTGATGAAAGACTACTAAGAATATACACCTATAACACATCCACAAAAATAATAAATTTAACATTTTAAAAAATTGATAAGGGCTGGGCACAGTGATGCCTCCCAAAGTACTGGGATTGCAGGCTTGAGCCACCAGAACTGGCCTATTTCTAGATTAAACATGGAAATACCATTATGGTCTGTACAGTTATTTAGAGGCAATAAAAGCATATTTTTATTACATTTTAATGTCTATATGAAATAGAAAATTCATAAATACTCATTACCAAATGCAGTACCTCAAATAGAAATCTGAGTATATCCTACATGTATTAAAGAAACTCAGTTTAGACATAAACTTTCCTACAAAAATAGTCTACAAACAGATGGCATAACAGGGAATGATAACATTTAAAAATAAAGCAGCACTCTCAACAAATGCTTCCAGGTTATAGAAAAACAGAAATTCTTCCCGAGATAGCCTGGATACCAAAACCTTTCAAGAATATAGTTATGAATAAAAACATGGTCAAATATCCTTGCGAACACGGATGAAGAAACAAATCTTACCCTACATAAAATACATCTGCACCGATTTTTTTTTTTTTTTAAGACAGAGTCTCCTGTTGCCAGGTTGGAGTGCAGTTGTGCGCTCTCGGCTCACTGCAACCTCCCACCCCTGGTTTAAAGTGATTCTCCTGCCTCAGCCTCTCCAGCAGCTGGGACTATAGGTGTGAACCACCATGTCCAGCTAATTTTTGTATTTTTAGTACAGATGGGGTTTCAGCACGTTGGCCAGGATGGTCTCGATTTCTTGACCTTGTGATCCCCTTGCCTCAGCCTCCCAAATGGGTTGGATTACAGGCCTGAGCCACCACACCCAGCCAGCACTGATACTTTGATATTTTATGAGGGAAATATACAATGATCATCATGGATTTATTTCAGAAACAAAGGCGGGTTTAACATTTGAAAAAATAAAAGTAGTTTATAAAAAGTTATATAAACAAAACATATATCAATCCAACTGACACAAATTAATTAAAAATGTTACAATTGATAAAAATCTATTAGAAAATAGGAATATTACAAAACTGCTTCAATACGAGAAAAATAGAATGAAAAAGACACCAAGCTTTGTAAATATGAATAACATGTTGAAGTATTTTTTGCCAAAACCAGAAAACGATACATATGATACACACAGAACTTTGATTGTACCTTCTGTTCAACTATGGGTATAAAACCCTAGCCAGTGAAAATAAATGAAAATAAAACTAAGTTATAGCACAGGGATTAAAAAAATAAAAGTGTGATGATTTGCAGATAAATGTTCTTTATATAGAACATCCAGAAAAAATCAATAGTTGACATAATAGATTCAAATATATAAAATCAGTGGAATAAGTAGATATAAAATAAAAATGCAGACATCAATTGTATTTCTAACAACAAACATTACTAAAGAGAATTTTAGAATCAGGATGCCACTTACAAAAGCATGAATATAAAATACCTACATTTCTGTATGACTTCAATCCCCCAAAATACAAAATACAATAGAAGTTAAAGATAACACAGTATATTGAAGGAAACACTATGTCGATTAGAAAAGTGAATATTATAAACAAGCTAATCTTTGAAAATTAGAGAATAAATGCAGTCACAAACAATCCCACGAGAGGCTTTTTTTTTTCCTGATGGCTTTATTGAAGGGTCATGTACAAAGCATAAATTTCATCCACTTAAAATGATTAAAAATCAATGATGTTTAGTATATTCACAGAGTTACAACCATCACCACTACTGAAATTTAGAAAGTTTTCATCATGACACGAAGAAACTTTCTATCAATTAGTGATCATCTCCTATTTCCACCTCCCTTAGGCATTGGCAACCACTATTCTACTTTCTGTCTCCATGGGTTTGACTGTTCTTGATACTTCACAGAAACTGACTCATAAAACATGCAACTTTTAGAAAGGCTGAATACCACATATATCATGTTTAGGAAAACGAGCCCGACACGAATGCTGGGATATTTGTACTTTAGTAATTGTGTGTACCCTACTTCAATAATTGACTTAGAATTTTCTTATTAGAGCAAATAACATAATTCATTTCAAGATTTATGCAATCATATTATTTCTATTTCAAGAAATATAAAATTTATCTGATGCACTGCAAATGCAAACGCTTTACTTCTAAAGCTTATGCTTACAATGATATATTTTTGAAGATCCACACTCGTCTGAAAAAAGTCCACGTACATGTAGCATTGCACAGTTATGTTCAGCATTATCTGACTCTTTTATCCTGTAATGGAAAGAAATCCATATTCTGTTACATTTTAGCCAGTGATTTATGAGACAAAAACATTTTCCATGTACTGTAAGAAAAGAACTTTATGGAAAAGGGCAATTAAATTTCTCATAATATTAGTAAGAGTCATTATTCTGAACACTCAATAGCGTGGTTCCCCTTCATCCACGGGTGATATGTTTCAAGACCCCAGTGGATGCCTGAAACGGCAGATAGTACAGAACCTATAGAGAGATTATGTTTTCTCTACACATTCATAACTACGATAAAGTATAAGTTCTAAATTAGGCACAGTAAAAGATTGACAACAATAACTACCAATAAAAATTATAGCAATATGTCAACAGCACTACTACTGTGCTCTGAGGATATTCTTAAGGAAAAAAGTAAGCATGGCTTTTTAATAAAAACAAGCTCTGCAGTTCCCTGATAGTCCGATTCAAGCTTGTCCAACTCACTGCCCATGGGCCGCATGTGACCCAGGACAGCTTTGAATGCGGCCCAACACAAATACGTAAACTTTCTGAAAACATTCTGAAGTGTTAATGGATTTTATGTGTGGGCCAAGACTATTCTTCTTCTTCCAATGTGGCCCACAGAAGCCAAAGATTGGACACCCCTGGTCCATTTGATAACCAAGAGGGTTACTAGCTGACTAATCAGTGGGTAGACATTATGGACTACTGTGATCTTTTGTAAAATATTTATGTCAACATTTCACTAACTTTCCACATCTTTCTTCATGTCAATGAGTCCACATATATTTATTCATATTATTCTTCTGAATTTACCATTTATATATTTTTTATATAGCACCATACAAAACAACTTACTCATGTTTGAAAGTCAAACCGTTGATTGTCACCCATGGATGATGACTGCTGTCACGAAACACATCAATCCATGAGGAAGATAAAATGGAGGTCAGAAATTTCTAAAAGAAAAGGAAGAATTTTCACTTAAATAATAATTATGAAAACATTATAAAAGCAATATATTAAAGTTGAAAACCACTATTTGCAGTACCAAAATTTTTCATAAATGTTTATAATTTTGATATAAATGAACTCTTCAACATTTATACTTAGTACTTTCATTCTTATTGTCATGTTAATAAGGACCTTTTAATTCTTGCATTATAATAGTGACCACAATTGACCAAATAAACCCAGGAAGGATTTAATAAGTTTAGTGATACTGCGCATTCATTCCTCCAGATACTGTGACTAAATCAATCTATTTTTGTACTATATGTTCCAGAGTTGGAGATTTAGAAGGAAATGAGAGGTTGTCATTCGGAAATAAATGACATAGAAGCTACAGATTGAGTTTTCTGGGCACCACACCATTCTTTAACTAGATAAGCCCTCACTTTTCACTGATTTGGTTTTGGTGGAATAACAGTGGTCCTGACCGGGTGGTGTAGACTCATCTCTCTCTGGTACTCCCGGCTAAAAACAATTATAACCCTGTGATTAATGAAAGATAACAACAATGGAGAACTCTGAAAGGCGGAAAGAGATAGATGACATTGTCTGGGACCCTAGCATCAGGGATCAACAAAGTGTCCAAGCGAGCATGTGCAGTCCCCCATCCGACAGAAGAAGGTGACCTAGGCCTGCTGTTTCACCACACCCAACCTGGCAACAGGAGGAGGCCCAGCAAAGCTCACTCCTGCTCTGTATTGAAGGGGAGTCCCCTCCACAACACCAGGCGAGGCTGGTACCACTGGCGAGGATGAGCTACCAGGAGACCTGCTATCAATACAGCCAGAGGAAGTGCTTCCTTCTCATTCCAAGAGACACCAGGGTGGATGTGGGCAGGGGGATCAGCAAAGCGACCCCATGCCTACCAGTGCACCATCCAGGGTCCTCTTTGTCCCTGAGGGCAGGAGACCCACTTCCCCATCCAGAGACAAGGACTCAATGGATTCTTAGTGTTCTTTGTACATAGTACAGCAGTGAACAGTAACATACTACTGATAACTGCAATAATATGGAGGAATTGCACAAATATCAGATAGGAGTGAAAAAGACAGACATGAAATTTACACTGTATGATTCCCTTTATATAAATTCAAGAACAGGCAAATGTTATTTATAATATTAAAAGTCAAGACAGTGTTTTGGAGGAGTCAGGGTAACTGATGAGTGTACACACAGGGGTGGAACTGCTAGAGCTGGAAACTTCTATTTCATGATCTGACTTGTATCACATGAGTTCATTCACTTTCTGATCAGTCTGCATGACCAGATCATATCATGCCTGATAAAATTAGATAGCAACATTTATTGTGTATTCAAAGTATTTATAGAAGTATGGTTTTCTTTGAAAAGCAAAAACTGAAAATAAAAGTACATTAGCAGTATATAACTTTAAACACATTATTAAGTCAATCAATTGAATAATACATAAACTTGAAAATATATAAGATAAATATATGTACATACATATGGATATTTACTACAAATGTATTATTCACTGAAAGAAGCTTTTCATAAAATCTTTGAAACATTTATATCTTACCATTTCTTCCTCATTATCTATAGAAAGCAGACTAGAGTTCTTTGAAGCACAGGCCAGCAAACTCTCTGCCCAAGTTCTTTTTTCCTTGCCAATGTAATAACAACTGTTGGAATATGTAATCCACTCCTCAGGACAATGGCCACAATGACGTACTAAATAAAGATATGAATTACTATGCAGAACAATATGAATGTTTACAAATGAAAATTAGTTTACATATTTCCAACAGTATAAACCTATATGTGCCTAACAATTTATGCATCCTTACAGGCTTATGAATATATATTTTTTAATAACCGAGTCAGTCATACACACATGCACAGACAAGGGCTAGCCTCTCATCACTAATTGTGTTCCCATATAAAGCAAACCAACAAACAAAAATACACTCTACACATGTCTTGAACGTCACTGATACACAACTGCTTTTTTAGGATAGTAAAATTATTCATTTCATATCATCTCATAGCAGTAGGAAACTTCTGTTAATTGGGAGAAAGAGGATAGAATGATTTTAAGTGAATATTTCTACTTATCGGAGAAAAGGAAATGCTGCCTTATAATCTTTGTTTATAAATATTTATGGCTGAATTTTGTGGCTTATTTTCTGCAAAAATGCCATCATTCTTTTACATGCCTTAAACCAGACACAAAATATAAATTGTACTAATATCTGAACGTTGAAAATAAAAGTGTACCTTTCTGGGTTCTTGTATTCGGGAAAGAATTGTTCTGCTCCAGGATTGTAATAGAAAAATTAAAATGAGTTTTATAAAAACTAGTATCTAGATAAACCATAATGAATTTAGTTTCTTACTTTGAAACTTTGTGTGTTATTTAAAATGGGAACAATCTTTAATAAAATTAACGTTTCCTATAAAAATAAATGAATAAATCTTTGAAAAAAGCATTTTTAAAGACTTTAGCACAAAACTTCACCATCGCTTATAGTATTTGATGTAACCACTTTCAAAAATTAATTTGTTTTTCTAAATTCTTTTCTCCTATAGTATGCCTTTGAATTATGAAATCAGGAAATACATTGTGTGTGTATGTGTGTATAGATAGATAGATAGATAGATAGATTACAAACACACAAAAAAATAAATACATATTCTCTACAATGATTTTGTTATTTGTGTTGTGAAAAGTTCAGAATAACCATATCACTTTTGGGTCCAAATTATACTAATATCTGAACATTGAAAATAAAAATGTACCTTTCTGGGTTGTTGTATTCGGGGAAGAATTGTTCTGCTCCAGGACTGTAACAGAAAAATTAAAATGATTTTCGTAAAAACTAATATCTAGATAAACCATAATGGGTTTAGTTTCTTACTTTGAAACTTTGTATGTTATTTAAAATGGGGACAATCTTTAATGAAATTAACTTTTTCTATAAAAATAAATGAAGTAATAGATCTCTGAAATAAACATTACAATGAGAGTTCTATTCTTCAACAGTATGAAATATTTTGAGGCACTTCCAAGCATTAAAGTAAAACTTTCCCGTCTAATCTTTCAAGAATACGCTTACGAGGAATAAGAACTATTGTTTTTAACACAGTGGCCATCAGGACAATGCAAATGATTCCCAGGACCTCAGCAGTGAGCTTCTCTGGAGGTGGCAGTAAACCTGCAGGGAGAGAAACAGAGGCACTGAGAGAGGGGAGATAGAGAGTTGATTAGGATTCCATACTAGAGAACCCACATGCACAGGGAAACATAATGATAACCTCTGGCCTCTAAATCTACATCTACTCTGGTAATCTTTCTCTCAGAATATACCAGTTCATTTTCAGTAAATATATAATTCCATGAGTGGATTGCAGATTACGGTTGAACAATGCCCGAATAAAATTAGTCTTCTGATGTCATATTAGAATATTAGATCCCAATTATGAACTCTGATTCTCACAAGTGCAAAATATTCCCTAATCTTTCCCCACCCTTCTGCATTCAACTGCACGTCCTGTAACAATAATATTGAAGATCTATTTAATGTGTTACCTTGGCAGTCATATATTTGATCAATCCCTTGATGATTCAGAGAAGGATTTTGAAGGTTTAATTCTACTTGGAATATTTCCTGTTCGGTTCCTGAAATGGAGCTTTTATTGCCTTTAGGTTTCCTTTGCTGCCTCTTTGGATCCTGGGCCAGACTCACTTCTGAGAAGGTTCCTCTTTGTTTATTCATCTCTGCAGCTGTGTGATGTCAGGGACTGTGCTCTATGATAACTGCACTTAAGAAGCTATGAATGGTGTATATTTTGACAGGATCCCTGGCATAGGCAAACTGCATGTGTTGGAGCTGAGCAGTAATGTTTGCTTTGCTGTTGACCAATGTAAAATGCTGGTACTAATTCTCTAAAGCTTTTAACAAAAATCTCATGATATAATTGGTAATTTTTTAGATGTATTCTGTATTTGACATAATATTACTAGTGGGAACAATAAAAACATTAAACTTGTGAGAACTAAGAAGTTCATGAAAAAATATTTGTATTAAATTAAGGTTAGATTCTTCAAAAACACTTAACACCAATAGACTGCATATGTTAACAATCAAAATACTGTATTTAGAAATACATGAATTTTATTATAGTTTTAGGATTCATTGATGGTTAAGGATGGTGTGCCATAAGATAAAATAATTCTGCTAGCATATAGAGTAACTTCTTATACTAAATTTCTAAATTAGGAAATCAGAAAAACTATTAAAGTTTTAAAAATACATCTAATATCTTGTAAAACATTACATTGCCCTATGCATAAACTAAATACTACTGAAAACAAAATATATTTTTAAATTGTTTCTTTTACACAAGAAATTGGTAATTGATTTAATGATTAAAATAGGAAAACCTAAAATGATAAACGGGTGGGCCATCTATGGAACAACAGTGTCCAATCAAACATTTAGAAATCTCCTATGGTTGTATAAGTCAGTGAGGGTCGCTTTGGTTGTATAAGTAATTGTAATAGTTCAGATAATGTAATTTAATAATCTAGTCAATGAGCTCTAGTCAGTGAGACTACAGTTAATTCTAGCTTTGCAAGTTATAGTGTGTGACCTTTAGTAAATTACTTAGTGTCTATTAACCTAGTTTACTAATCTACAGTGCGAAAAACAATTTATAAGGTATAATGTATGTAAAAAACTAAACACACAAACTGGCACATATTAGCACTGAATACATAATAGACATTTTAACTATTTTTAACACAACTGCCATTTTATTATTTCTGATTAGCATTACAGTGTGTAAAATAACTCATTAATTAGGCATCTCATGTCAGTGTGGTACATCTTTTTTGCAATATTTGATTCAATTGTTTTAACTCTTCCAATTGTTTATAATTCAGGTCAGATTTGCATTTTATGGAAATGATTTCATCCTTGCTTTTATTAAAAATTAAAACTGCTTTCATTAAATCTAGGTATGAGCTTGGTCTAAATGTAAAAAACTGTTAAACCAGTAATGATGACAAAATCCAAAATTAATTGTTCATTGTCATGATGGTTATGGGTTTCACTCTGAATTACATTGATTGGCAAACCTATTATTATGTATGCATCTACTTGAGTGATTCTCCACAGGCTATAATGTGGATACTCTAAGAAATCCTCAAACATATTTTATATTTTGGCTCGTTTTTCGCCTTGAATTATTCACATGAAAAGAGTTCTACCTTGATTTTACTCTATATAAACTTTACCTCAGGTGCATCACAGCCAGTATTTACAAACTTCTACTAAATCAGAGGAGCAAGTAGAGAAACTGGGAGAGTAGCAACACATACCTTCTGTCACCAGAAAGCCACACGCCCTTCAGTGGGGAGGTCAGGTTACCTCCTAAAGACACAAACCTTATCTGTGATCTTCACAGACTGCCCTTTGAAGGGTCAGAGTGAGGCAAGAGTGGAAAAAGTAGATTCCTCGCCAATGTGTTACTTCAGATTTGAACAGGAAATTCTCACCCTAGGGCTATTTTGAATGAGTTTATCTCATCACAAACTCTATAATATAGGAGACTTTGGGTGGCTAGGGTGGCATTTAGTCTGTCCATTTTCAGTGCCTCTTAGAAATTATTTTAATAGTCGACAAGATCGGGGGAGAGCAGAGATTTAACCCATGGAGTTGATTGCTTCCATCTCAGTCACAAACACCAAAATCTTGTAACTTTTTAAAAGTATCTTAGATGTTTACTTTCTCCATTTAGACAAAGTACCAAAACTTGACATTATATACTTCCTTATCATATACCCCTATAATATCACTGCTATCATAATAAAAAAATTTAATAATCTTACCAATAAGAATTTAATGTACTTGTTTTGAGAAAATGCTACATTGTCAACTTAATCGTAACTGACATCAATTCTCCAACTTATCTTCTTGATTTCTTTGCCGTAGTTCTTAAAATTCCCTCATTCATTTTTCTTATGTAAGCTAACCAGATTCCTCTGATTAAAATAAATGTCTCTTGAAACAATAAAATATTAAACAATACTGAGCTATATCTCTATGCCAGAGACTGAAATAATAAAAAACTACTCACTATATTTTTCACTGATTCCCTCTCTAATAATGACTTATTGTCTGCATTTTAATAGAAATATTTATTGTAAATGATTAAAGCTTAAGTTAAACTATGTAGGGAGGTAAAAGCAATTTTTAAGACCTCAACTACTTAAAAATGGGGAGGCCAGAAAACGGAGATTTTTAAAACATAAGTAAAATGATACATGAGTGTCTGGGTGTGGTAGCTCATGTCAGTGATCCCAGCATCCAGAATCACTTGAACTTGGGAGTTCGAGGCCAGCATGATACACAGGATGAAACCCCATCTCCTCAAAACAAATACAAAAATTAGCCGAGGATGCTGGTGTTTGCTTGTAGTCCCAGCTGCTCTGGAGGCTGAGGTGGGAGGATCGCTTGCACCCTGGAGGTCGAGGCTGCAGTGAACTTAGTGTCGCTGCACTGCAGCCTAGGCGACAGAGCCAGACCTTGTCTCAAAAATAAATAAACAAAAATTTAAGGAAATAAATGGTATACAAACATCAGGAAAAATACTATAAATTATCTCGTCGTATTAAATAAAAATCTTTCATCATTTTCTGTCAAGAAAAGGGGGAATGTTTATGCATGATTCTATTGCCCAGGCTGGAATGCAGTGCTGCATCTCGGCTCACTGCGACCTCTGCCTCCTGGGCTCAAGTGATTCTCCTGCCTCAGCCTCCTGAGTAGCTGGGATTACAGACACACGCCACCATGCCCAGCTAATTTTTTTTGTATTTTTGTAGAGATGAGGTTTCATCCTGTTAGCGAGGATGGTCTCGATCTCCTGACCTTGTTATCCATCTGCCTCGGCCTCCCAAAGTGCTGGGATTACAGGCATGAGCCACTGTGTCCAGTCATTCTCTAAAATCTAAAATGTTGGATTTAAATCCATATTTATTTCTTTGCAATCGGAATTACTATTTGCCCTTCCATCAGAATGGCTAATGTTGGCTAGGCATAGATGTTTTTCTGTGAAATATATTGTAATATATTTTCATAAAATAAATTAATGTTATATGCATATATGCTTGTGTTTATATTGTATCTATTTCTATTATACGTAAATTTATTTATATTTACATTTTATTATATTTCATAAACTAGGTTAATTTCTTCTGTTAGTCACATTATGGAATTAAAACAATAAAATCATTCACTAAGGATGCCACATAACGTATCATTCACTAATGTTTTCTGTTTCAGTTTGAAGTGCTGATGTCTACTATTGCTACAAACATCCTCTTGGAGTTTTCCATTAAATAGTGTTACACTGTTATTGTTTGCTTAATGACAGGGATACTTCCCAGGAATGTGTCTTTAGGCAATTTCATCCCTGAGTCAACATCATAGAGTGTAAATACACAAACCTAGATGGTACAGCTACTACACACCTATGTTATATGGGATAGCCTATTGCTCCAAGGATACGAACTCATACAACATGTTATTGTAGTGAATAATGTAAGCAGTGACCAGAATGGTAATTTTTATCTAATCATATATAAACATAAAAAAACAGTAAAGTATGGTTTAAAAAAGGTTAAAATGGCATCCTTTTATAGGTATATTTTACTATGAATGAAACCTGTGGAAATGGCATTTTCCCAAGGTGAGTCAGTGAGTAAGTAGCAAGTGAAAGTCAAGGCCTAGGATATTACAGCACACTACTGCAGAATTCATAAACTCTACACTAGGGTACACTATAGTTATGCAGCAGTTTTATCTTTTGCTAATAATAAATTAACTTTAGTTTACTGCAACTTTGTTGGTTTCTAAATTTTTTATTTTATAGAAACCTTCTGCCTCTTTTTAAATACCCTATATTTAAAAACACAAATTGCACAGTCTTAAAATCTATTTTCTTTATATTCTTATTCTACAAGCTTTTTTCTATTTTTCATTTTAATTTTTTTTCTTTTTAACCTTTCTTTTAAAAAAACTAAGACACAAACACGCGCATTAGCCTAAGCCTACACAGTGTCAGCAAGATCAGTATCACTGTCATCCCCTCCACATCTTGCCCCACTGGAAGGTTGAGGGGCAATAACACATGTGCAGCCGTCCTCTCCTGTGGTAACAAGGCCTTCTTCTGGAATTCCTCCTGCAGGACCTGCCCAAGGTTGTTTTTCAGGTAATTGTTTTTGTAGAAGTAGAAGGAGTACACTCTAAAGCAATAATTAAAAGTACACTACAGCAAATACATAAACCAATAATATTGTCATGTATTATCATTATCAAATATTATGTAGTGCATGTATTTGTGTGTGATATACATTATTCCACTGGCAGCACAGTAATTTGTTTACAACAGCATCACCACAGACATGTGAATAATACACTGTACTGCAACTATTGCTATGACATCACTAAGTCATAGGAATTTTTCAGCTCCGTAATAATCTAGTGGGACCACTATCTATCTACTATAGTAGCGATATATAATATATAATTTATTATTTGGTCTGTCATTGACCAAAACATCATTTTGTGGCACGTGACTATATATCACGTCCTTTGTTAATTGAAATAATACAGGTTTCTACTGTTTGAGCATTTAACGTGAATGAAGTTTATGCTTATACAAAGGCACAATAAATATATAAAAACAAAAAAATAGAGAAGAAGTGGAGTAGAATTTACTCTATTTGATGTGTGTATATATATGTGTGTATATATATGTTTATATGATGCAAATACACACACACACACAGAGCTTACGGTGATTAATATTAGGTGTCAACTGGACTGGATGGAAGGAAGCCTAGATAGCTGGTAAGTGTTGTTTCTGACTGTATCTGTGACGGTGTTGGCAGAGGAGATTGACATGTGAGTCACTGGACTGTGCAAAGATGACTCATCCTCAATGTGGGTGGGCACCATCCAATGGCTGCCAGGCGAGTAGAACAAAGCAGCTAGAAGAAGGTGGGGTAAGCTGGCTTGCTGAGTCTTCTGACTTTCATTTTTCTCCCATGCTGGATGCTTCGCTTCTGTTCCTCCTGCCTTTGGACATCAGACTCCAGGTTCTTCAGCCTTTGGACTCTTGTACTTACACCAGTGGTTTTACAGGGGCTCCTGGGACTTCGGCCACAGACTGAAGGCTGAACTTTTGGCTTCTCTGCTTTTGAGGCTTTTGACTCGGACTGAGCCACTACTGGCTTCTTTCTTCCCCAGCTTGCAGAGGGCCTATTGTGGGACTTTGTCTTGTGATTATGTGAGCCTATTCTCCCCAATAAACCTCCTTTCACATATACATGTATCCTATTAGTTCTGTCCCTCTGGAGAACCCTAACACCGAACGTACATATGTATTACTATGACTATTGCAAATAATGACAATATCTGGTTTCCTATGAGTTATGGGTAAGTTGGAAGTCAATAACAAGTGAAAATATACTTTTAATGTAACATGAAATAAAATAATTTTCAATGAATTTTAAAAATTAGAGTGAATTAGTTATTACAAACTCTAAATAAAATAAAATTTAAATATCTTCAATAGATTAAACACAGATTCCCAATGAAAACTTGGATATTCAAAAAGAAGACTTTAAGTAAAGGAATTACATGGATATACCTAATTGGATATTGAACAGTGTATTAATGATAAAGTTTCCAACACTGAAATAAGTATTTATATTAGAATTTGGGGAGCAGATACAGGCTAATTGGTAAATAAAATAGAGAGTAATCTTACTTTCTTTGTACTGGTATAATAAAATATCACAAACCAAGCAATGTATTAACCATACAGATATATTACTCAGAGTTCAGAGAGCAGGGAGGTCCAAGATCAAAGTGCCAGCAGGTTTGCTGTAAGTTGTATTAAATTAACAAGTTTCTATGTGGAAAGTAAACAATGAAAATGTCTATTATGAAAACACAAGGGAACAACAGAGTTTAAACACTTGGTAGTGTTCAATCAGAATGTAATAAAAATTAAGTTATAATTAATACCTGTGCTTACGTATTTCCATACAAATAAAATACATAAGGATAATATTTTAGATATTCATCATTATATTAAGTGTAAAGTATTTGAATGTAAAATCAAAGAATGCATATATTCAGTAATAACTGTTTGTTGTCTTTATGAGGTATTCCTTTCATGTAAGCATAAAGAAAAATGAATATAAAAGTAGAGCTACCATGTGATCTGGCAATCCCACTCCCTGGTATATACCCAAAAGAAAGAAAATCAGTATATCTGAGGGATAGCTGTACTCCCATGTTTGCCGCAGCACTGTTCGCAATAGCAAAGATCTGGAAGCTACATGAGTGCCCATTAACAGATGAATGGACAAAGAAAATGTGGTATATATAAACAATGGAGTAATATTCAGTCATAAAAAGAATGAGACCCTGTCATCTGCTACAACATGAATGGAACCAGGGGTCATTATGTTCAGTAAAATAAGCCAGTCACAGAAAGACAATCATCACATGCTCTCACTTACTTGTGGGATTTAAACACCACAACAATTGAACTCATGAAGAGAGAGAGTAGAAGGATGGTTACCAAAGATTGAGAAGGATAACAGAAGGGTAGTAGTAGGGAGGTGAAAATGCTTAATTAATGAGTATAAAAATATTTAGAAAAGATGAATAAGACCTAGTGTTTGATAGCACAACAGGGTCACTACAGTCGATAATAATTTAATTGTACATTTAAAAATCACTAAAGAGTATAATTAGATTGTAACATAAAGGATAAATCCTTAGGGAGATGGAAACACCATTTTTACATGATGACATTATTATGCATTGCACGTATGTCTCAAAACAACTCATGTGCCCAAGAAACATATACACCTACTATGTACCCACTGAAATTAAAATTGAAATATTTAAAAAAGAAAAGATGAAGATAAAATATTTAAAAACATATAGCATATCTCACAAACTGGTAGAACACTATTACAGTTAATGTGCTGTCTTAATATAAGGCAAGCCCTCTACTGGAATTGAAGAAGCATGCTTCATAATGTTAGATTAACTTTCCAAACCACTAGTAATATACATTTTTATCATTGCATGTACCTAATGATACAAGTTCAACATATAATTGAAGAAAGTGAATAAGTAAACAACATTAGTGGGATTTTTAAAAACTTTTCTCTCAGTGCTTAACACAAAAACAGGCCAGGGAGCCTATAGAAAGATTAGAACGAGACAAGTAATTATCACTCATAGGCACACACTCACACATATGTAGCATACTCACATATTTAATTTCACGTATTTTCCCCAAATACACCATAAGCTCATAACTCTAAGTATATTAGTAAAAAATATAGGACTACCATTTCAATGTAGTACTACTAGCCAAGCTTGGCCAGTGAACAGTTAAAAAATAGATATTCTAGTTCAACGTTAATTAATACAAAATAAATACCATGTAAAACAAGTTTCTCAGCACACTAGCCACATCTTTGTACACAAAGATGAAGAATATTTCCAGCTTCACAGAAAATGTTCTAACTACAGTTTACCTACGATAAAAGTCAGTAAAAAAAATCTGCCAACCTTACATGGTTTTAAATTCAGTAATACATGTCTAAATAACATATGGGTGAAAGAAATTATCAAAATAAATGGTCACAATTTTTATATGAATTATAAGGAAAATAGAACAGAACTCTTTCTTGTAAAAACTGATTGTCCTCAATGTATATATATTACAAAAGATGACCTAAAAATTAAATTAACTGGAATGCACTAAAATAAAAATAAAAAAGCTAAAATTAAATACAAGTGATATATAAGAAAAAAATGAATAAACAGTAAAAAGTCACGATAAAGAATGTTACAGTAGAGAGAACAGCAAAGCCAAAGGTATTTTCAATTTTCAATGCTCTTAAAATTTGATGAGACCACTAAAAATATATGCCTACTAATATATCCACAAAAATAACAAATTTAACATTTTAAAAAATTGATAAGGGCCGGGCACTGTGATGCCTCCCAAAGTGCTGGGACTATAGGCTTGAGCCACCACAACTGGCTTATTTCTGGATTAAACATGGAAATACCATAATGGTATTTAAAGTTATTTAGAGGCAATAAAACTATATTTTCATTACATTTTAATGTCTATACAAAATAGAAAATTCATACTCTTTACCAAATGCAGCACCTCAAATAGAAATCTGAGTACATCCCATATGTATCAAAGAAATTCAGTTTAGACATAAACTTTCTTACAAAAATAGTCTACAAACTCAGATGACATTACTAGTGAATTATAACATTTAAAAATAAAGCAGTACTCTCACCAAATGCTTCCAGGTTACAGAAAAACAGAAATTCTTCCCGAGATAGCCTTGATACCAAAACCTTTCAAGTTTATAGACTTGAAACATGGTCAAATATCCTTGTGAACATGGATGAAGAAATAAATCTTACCCTACATAAAATAGATATCCACTTTTTTTTTTTTTTTTTTTTTTTTTTTTTGAGACAGAGACTCCCTCTGTCACCAGGTTGGAGTGCAGTTGTGCGCTCTCGGCTCACTGCAACCTCGGACCCCCGGTTTAAAGTGATTCTCCTGCCTCAGCCTAGAGGTGCCTATAGGTGCGCACCACCACGCCCAGCTAATTTTTGTATTTTTAGTACAGATGGGGTTTCAGCAAGTTGACCAGGATGGTCTCGATCTCCTGAGCTCATGATCCGCCTGCCTCAGCCTCCCAAAGTACTGGGATTCCAGACGTGAGCCACCGCGCCCACCCAGCACTGATATTTTATGAGGGAAATATACAACGATCATCATGGATTTATTTCAGAAACAAAAGCTGGTTTAACATTTGAAACAATAAAAATAGTCTATAAAAACGTTATATAAAGAAAACATATATCATTCCAACTGATACAAATAAAAATGTTACAACAATTGATAAAATCTATTAGAAAATAGGAATATTATAAAACTGCTTCAATATGAGAAAGATAGGATGAAAAAAACACCAAGCTTTGTAAATATGAATAACATGTGGAAGTATTTTTTGCCAAAACCTGGAAACGATACATATGATACACATAGAACTTTGATTGCATCTTCTATTCAACTATGGGTATAAAACCCTAGCCAGTGAAAATAAATGAAAATAAAACTAAGTTATAGCACATGGATTAAAAAAAATAAAAGTGTGATGATTTGCAGATAAAATGTTCTTTATATAGAACACCCAGAAAAAAATCAATAGTTGACATAATAGATTTAAATATATAAAATCAGTGGAATAAGTAGATATAAAATCAAAATGCAGACATCAATTGTATTTCTATTTATAACAACAAAAATTATTAAAGGGAATTTTAGAATCAGGATGCCATTAACAAAAGCATGAATGTAAAATATCTACAATTCTGTATGACTTCAATCCCCCAAAATACAAAATACAATATATATTAAAGATAACACAGTACATTGAAAGTAACACTTTATGTTGATTAGAAAAGTCAATATTATAAAGAAGCTCATCTTTGAAAATTAGAGAATAAATGCAGTCACAAACAATCCCATGAGAGGCTCTTTTTTTTCCTGATGGCTTTATTGAAGTGTCATGTACAAAGCATAAATTTCATCCACTTAAAATGATTAAAAATCAATGATGTTTAGTATATTCACAGAGTTACAACCATCACCACTACTGAAATTTAGAAAGTTTTCATCACGACACGAAGAAACTTTCTATCAATTAGTGGTCATCTCCTATTTCCACCTCCCTTAGGCATTGGCAACTACTATTCTACTTTCTGTCTCCATGGGTTTGACTGTTCTTGATACTTCATATAAACTGACTCATATAATATGCAACTTTTAGAAAGGCTGGATACCACATATATCATGTTGCGCAAAACAAGCCTGACACAAATGCTAGGATATCTGTACTTTAGTAATTGTGTGTATCCTACTTTAATAATTGATTTAGAATTTTCTTATTAGAGCAAATAACATAATTCATTTTAAGATTTATGCAATCATAATATTATTTCTATTTTAAGAAATATAAAATTTATCTGATGCACTGCAAATGCAAACGCTTTACTTCTAAAGCTTATGCTTACAATGATATATTTTTGAAGATCCACACCGGTCTGATTTGAGTCCACGTGCATGTAGCATTGCACAGTTATGTTCAGCATTATCGGAGTCTTTTATCCTGTAAGGAAAGAAATCCATATTTGTTACATTTTAGGCAAATGATTCATGAGAAAAAAACATTTTCCATGTACTGTAAGAAAAGAACTTTATGGAAAAGGGTAATTAAATTTTTCATAATATTAGTAAGAGTCATTATTCTGAACACTCAATAGAGTGGTCCCCTTTCATCCACGGGGGATATGTTTCAAGATCCCAGTGGATGCCTGAAACGGCAGATAGTACAGAACCTATAGAGAGATTATGTTTTCTCTACACATTCATAACTATGATAAAGTTTAATTTCTAAATTAGGCACAATAAGAGATTGACAACAATAACTACTAATAAAAATTATAGCAATATGCCAACAGCACTACTACTGTGCTTTGAGGATATTCTTAAGTAAAAATGTAAGCCTGGCTTTTTAATAAAAACAAGCTCTGCAATTCCCTGATAGTCCATCTCAAGCTTGTCCAACTCGCTGCCCATGGGCCGCATGTGACCCAGGACAGCTTTGAATGCGGCCCAACACAAATACGTAAACTTTCTGAAAACATTCTGAGATATATATATATATTTTTTAGCTCGTCAGCTATCATTAGTGTTAACGGATTTTATGTGTGGGCCAAGACTATTCTTCTTCTTCCAATGTGGCCCACAGAAGCCAAAGACTGGACACCCCTGGTCCATCTGATAACCAAGAAGGTTACTAGCTGACTAATGAGTGGGTAGACATTATGGACTACTATAGTCTATTGTAAAATATTTATGTCAACATTTCACTAACTTTCCACATCTTTCTTCATGTCAATGATTCCACATACATTTATTCATATTATTCTTCTGAATTTATCCTTTATGTGTGGATATTTTTATATAGCACCGTACAAAACAACTTACTCATGTTTGAAAGTCAAACCGTTTATTGTCACCCATGGATGCTGACTGCTGTCACGAAACACATCAATCCATGAGGAAGTTAAAATGGCGGTCAGAAATTTCTAAAAGAAAGAATTTTCACTTAAATAATAATTATGACAACATTTAAAAACAATATATTAAAGTTGAAAACCACTACTTGCAGTACCAAAAACTTTCATAAATATTTATAATTTTGATATAAATGAACTCTTCAACATTTATACTTAGTACTTTCATTCTTATTCTCATGTTAATAAGGACCTTTTAATTCTTGCATTATAATAGTTACCCCAATTGACTGAAAAAACCCAGGAAGGATTTAAATAAGTTTCCTGATACTGTGCATTCATTCCTCCAGATACTGTGACTAAATCAATCTATTTTTGTACTATATTTCCCAGAGTTGGAGATTTAGAAGAGGAATGAGAGGTTGTCATTCAGAAATAAATGACATAGAAGCTACAGATTGTGTTTTCTGGGCACCACACCATTCTTTAACTAGATAAGCCCTCACTTTTAACTGATTTGGTTTTGGTGGAATAACAGTGGTCCTGACCAGGTGGTGTAGACTCATCTCTCTCTGGTACTCCCTGCTAAAAACAACTATAACCCTGTGATTAATGAAAGACAAAAGTAACGGAGAACTCTGAAAGGCAGAAAGAGATAGATGACATTGTCTGGGACCCTAGCATCAGGGATCAACAAAGTGGCCGAGCAAGCATGTTAAGTCCCCACTGAGAGAAGAGGGTGACCTAGGCCTGCTGTTTCCTTGCACCCAACCTGGCAACAGGAGGAGGGTATTGAAGGGGAGTCCCCTCCACAACACCAGGCGAGGCTGGTACCACCGGCGAGGATGAGCTACCAGGAGACCTGCTATCAATACAGCCAGAGGAAGTGCTTCCTTCTCATTCCAAGAGACACCAGGGTGGATGTGGGTGAGGAGGATCAGCAAAGCCACCCAATGACTACCGGTGCACCATCCAGGGTCCTCTTTGTTCCTGAGGGCGTGAGACCCACTTCCCAATTCAGAGACAAAGACTCAATGGATTCTTAGTGTTCTTTGTACATAGTACAGCAGTGAACAGTAACATACTACTGATAACTGCAATAATATGGAGGAATTGCACAAATATCAAAAACAGGCAAATGTTATTTATAACATTAAAAGTCAAGACAGTGTTTTGGAGGAGTCAGGATAAGTGATGAGGGTACACACAGGGGTGGAACTGCTAGAGCCGGAAACTGTTATTTCATGATCCGACTTTTATCACAGGAGTTCATTCACTTTGTGACCAATCTGCACGACCAGATCATATAATGCCCGATAAAATTAGATAGCAACATTTATTGTGCATTCAAAGCATTTATAGAAGCATGGTTTTCCATGAAAAGCAAAAACTGAAAATAATCAAAAGCACGTTAGCAGTATATGAATTTTTAAACATTATTAAGTCAATCAATTAACTATTACATAAACTTGAAAACATATAAGCTACTCCCTACTAAAAACATAAGCTAAATATATATACCCACACATATGGATGATTTCTACAAATATATTATTGACCGAAATAAGCTTTTCATAAAGTGCTTATAACATTTACATCTTACCATTTCTTCTTCATTATCTATAGAAAGCAGACTGGAGTTCTTCGAAGTACAGGCCAGCAAACTCTCTGCCCAAGTTCTTTTCTCCTTACCAATATAATAACAACTGTTGGAATATGTAATCCACTCCTCAGGACAATGGCCACAGTGACGTGCTAAATAAAGATATGAATTACTGTCTAGACTCATATGAATTTTTAAAAATGAAAATTTTTTTTACATATTTGCAAATGTATAAACCTATATGTATGCAACATATCTATGCATCTTCAGAGGCTGGTAAATATGTAGTTTGAAAATACCCAGTCACTTATATACATATGCGCAATAAAGGGTCAACCTCTCATCTCCTAATTGTGTTTCCATATAAAGCAAACCAGTAAACAAAAATCTACTCTATACATGTCTTGAAAATCAATGAACTAATCTGATTTTTAAGGAACAATAAATAACTTGTATATTATAGCAATAAGAATTTGAATACAACAGATAAAAACAAAGCATAGTGATTTTACTTACAGTTGATGACAAGGGAATGCCTTACTCTAATCCTTATTTATGAACATTTATTGCCAAATTTTATAATTTTTCACCCCAAATTTTACTTTTGTACAGCCTAAGATCAAGAAAAAATAAACTGTACAATATTAAAACTTTAAAAATTATTATATACCTTTCTGAGTTCTTGTATTCAGGGAAGAATTGTTGTGCTTCTGTGTCAATGTAGCTAGAAAAATTAAAGTAATCTTTTGTAAAAATTAGCATCTAAATAAATCACAATAATTTTAAGTTTTTGTTTGAAATTTTTTGTGTTAGAGTTAGAATAATATGGAATAAAAATGATTTTAAGAAAAATTTGATAAAGTAATAATGGTTTTTTGGAAAAGTATTTCATAGATCTAAAGAACCAAATTTCACCATCTCATATGGTTCTTATAATTCTTGATTTAACTACTTTCAAAAATTAATTTCTATTTCTCAGTAAGGTTTTTCAGACTCCTATAACATATTTTTGAGTTATGAAATCAAAATATATACATACAATTGCATCAGAAGCGAATACTTTCAACAATTATTCTTTCATTTATTCTTTGACAAATTCTGAATGACCATTCCACATTCAGTCCAAAGACATACATTACAATGAGAATTCTATTCCCTGAAAATATGAAATGTATAGAGGCACATTCAATCATTAACATGAAAATTCCCCTTGTAATCTTCTAAAATAGACTTACAGGGAATAACAACTATTGTTACCACAGAGGCCATTAAGACAAGACAGATGATTCCCAGGATCCCAGCAATGAGCTTCTCTGGAACTGACGGTAAATCTGCAGGGAGCGAAATGGGAACAGTGCGAAAGGAGAGGTGGACATAGTTGTTTAGAAGATTCAAAAACAATAGAACCTGAATGCACAGGAATCATATGGAGAAACTTGGACCCCAAACCCTCATCTCCCATTGTAATCTTTTTCTCTGAATAATATACCATTGCATTTTCAGTAAAAATAATGCTCCATGAATTCTTTGACGAAGACTACACATTTCAACAATGAGTTAAATCAGTCTTCATATTTTATATTGAAATGTCATATCTCAATTTGAAATTCTGATCTTTACAAATAGAAAACATGTGAGCACTCCCTGCTCTTTCCCCACATCCCTGTACCCCAAGCTGCACATCCTAGACTGTTATATTGAGGATCTTTTAAATGCTTTACCTTTGCAGTGATTGGTTTTGTAATTCCCTTGAAAATCCTGCGAAGTTTTTTGAAGGTTTAATTCCACATAGGTTATTTCCTGTTCAGTTACTAAAATGGAGCTTGTATTGCCCTTAGGTTTTTGCTGCTTCCTCTTTGGGTTTGGGGGCAGATTCAAGTCTGAGTAGATTACTCCTTGGTTATCCATCTCTGCAGTGTGTGATGTCAGGGACTGTACTCTACAATAACCGTAGTTAAGAAGTTAATAAATGGTTTATATACAATATTCCCTAGTGCAGTTAAAAGGGTGAGGTGGAGAACGAGTATTGGAGCTCATTTTGCATTAAAGAATCTAAAGTTCTTTCTCTAATTTTCTTCAAGCCTAAACAAGTTTCTTATGGTAAAATATTTGTTTTAAAAAATATATTTTTGGGTCGGGCGCGGTGGCTCATGCCTGTAATCCCAGCACTTTGGGAAGCCGAGGCGTGCCGATTACAAGGTCAGGTGATCCATACCATCCTGGCTAACACGGTGAAACCCCGTCTCTACTAAAAATACAAAAATTAGCCGGACACGATGTCAGGCGCCTGTAGTCCCAACTCTCAGGAGGCTGAGGCAGGAGAATCGCTTGAACACGGGCGGCAGAGGTTGCTGTGAGCCGAGATCGTGCCACCGCACTCCAGCCTGGGCGACAGAGTGAGACTCTGACTCAAAAAAAAAAAAAAGAGAGAAATTTCTACGTTTGACAAAATATTATTGCTGGGGCAATAAGAAGCAATAAATTACTAAGGAATAAAGAAGTTCAGGAATAAAAATACATTTCTTAAAGTCTGATGCTTTACCTGTATTAAAAATTAAAATGTATTAGAAAAAGTTCTGCACTCATTTTTTATGTTAATTTTGAAATCCAGTAATGGTTAAGACGATGTGGTCTGCACATGAGTAATAGTAAAGTTGAGATATATATACACACACACATATATATAAATTTCTTGCACTAAATTACTTTTATTTAGTAATTTATATACATTAATGAAAATCAATAGGGGTAATTAAATGGTCTTTTTTTAATGGTTGAAATGTTCTAAGAAATTATTAAAAATTATTTAAATTACTAAAAATGATTACAAATGTGAATATTTGTACATGTCAGGAAATGCTATGTGACACTGTTAACTTATGAATAACCTAAATAGTATTAGGAACACCACATAAATTGTTAATACTTATAGAAGTATTGGTAATTTAATAAGTAGTTGGTAATTTATTTCCTGGCTAAATTATGAACCAAAAAATGATAAATAAAAGTATAGGTAATTCATGTTAAAGCACATTTCATTTAAACTTATAGAAAGATTTTACAGTTGTCAAGGTGAGTAAAGGCCACTTTTGTTGTGTAAGTACTTGTAAAATTTCAGATAATGTAATTAAATCATTTAGTCAATGGGCTCTGGAGTGAGTGAGATCTAGAATGAATTCTAGCTTTGACACTTACAATGTGTGACCTTTAAAAAGTTATTCTATGTTTAATAACCCAGTTTGTTAATCTAAGACGGGAATAAGAACATATAAAACGTTGCATGTAAAACATTTACCACTCAACCTGGCACTTAAAGTTCTCAATAAGCATTAGCTATTTTAATTATTATTTTAGTCACAATTGTTATGTTACTGTTTCTGATTCGTGTCAGTTAAAGAATGGAAAATGAATCTTCAGATAAGTCTCCTATATCCGTGTGCTACATCTTTTTTTGCAATATTTTGATAAACTTTAAAAAAGTATTTTGATTGTTTTGTATTACCTTTAGCATTTTATGTACTCTACCTGATTGTGATTTTTATTAAAAATAAAAATGCTTTTATTTAATCTACATGTCTGAGGAACTGTATTTGGCTTTCATCAATTGATTCATTTATTTTAATAATCTTTAATGGCTAAGCTAAATATAAATTATTATTCAAAGATACATGATGTACTGATTACAAAATACAAAATTAATTGTTCATTATTGTGATGTTAATAGGTTTCACTTAAATTATATTGATCAACAAACCCACTAGGTTTCCACAAACAAGAATTTGAAAACTTTAAGAAATCCTTCAACATATTTCATATGGTTTTTACCCTGAGTTATTCAAATGAAGACAGCAATATTCTACTTTGATTTTACTGTATATTAATTATACCTCCTTTGTACCATATTGAGCACTTGTAATCACCCACTAAATGAGGTAGGCTAGTAGAGAGTTGGAGAGTAGCAACACATACCTTCTGTCCCCAGAAAGTCACACATCCTTTAGTGGAGAGGCCAGGTTAGTCTCACAAAAAGGCCTGCTATAGCTGGGAAATAAAAGGTGAAATTTAAAGGCATAAATCCAGGACAAGAACAAACAATGCCTACAATCTTCACAGACTGCCCTGTGAAGGCTCAGAGTGAGTCAAGAGTGGAAAAAGTAGATTTCTCATCAACGTGTTACTAAGGTTTGAACAGGAAATTCTACACATGGGCTATTGTGAAATCAGTTTAATCTCATCACACACCTCCAAAATATAGGATACTCTGGTCTGTTAAAAGTACAAGGTTGACTTTGAAAGTGGGTCATTTAGTTGGTCCATTTTTCAAGCGCCTATGAGAATTTTTTTTTCTGTTTTGATCACAAACATTGCCAATCCCCACCTTGTTAAGAGTGCCTTTTAGACTAGATTGCTAAATCTTAACATTGCATACTTCTTTTCTTTATATTATTTTATCATGTCACTTCCATTATAATAGAAAACATTCTAAAACTCATAGTAACATTATCAACTGATAGCTACTGATTTTTTCCTTAATTATTCTGAAAAATTACTGCAGTAATTACTCAGTTGACTGTAGCTGACACAAAAACCATCATTGCCAAAGTGATGTTATTAACTTAGTTCTTAAATTTTTGCATTTAATTTTTTAAAAATAGATTATTTAATCTTCAGATTATCGTTGATGAAAATAAATGTATCTTGGAAAGGTAAAATATTAATCAATTTTGAAATATATTAGCATACCAGAGATTGAAATATTAAATAGCTATTCATCACATTCTTCATTTATCCATTCTCCACCGTAACAAATTATCTCAACTTCAATAGAAATATTTAGTTGTAAATGACAAAAACTGAAGGCAAGCTCTGTATCGGGAAAAAGTAATTTTAAAATCTCACTAGGAGGAAAGTCAGCAAATTGGCAGAATAGGTGGTCCCCCACACATATGCCCCAACAGCAACAATAATGTTTCAGCCATCCACAGACAAAAGTGGAGGAAACTCCCTTTGAGGGAGTTTTGGAATTCAAGTAGGAGTTTGTAAAATGCCAGTGGAACCCAAGACCTAGGAGGGTTGCTTTAGAGAATAGATTTGCATCCAAGTGGCAGACTTACCAACAGTGATTCCATCTCCAGACCTGAAAAGAGACCCATCCTCCTGTGGACTTGCCTTCAGCCGCATTAGGACTTCGTCATGCTGCCAAAACCATCTGTCCAGGGGCCCAGGAGGAGACCCAAACACTAGTGTCTCAGGAGGTAGGCATATTAACTGTAGTCTCAATGTAGACCCTGAAACAGCCCTCTAACTTGGCTTTAGCTACTCTCAGCCACAACTTTTGAGATCAGTCTTTCACCCACAGAGACTTCCTGGGAGACATATACATCTGTTCCCCTGGGGCATGCTTGCTGACCTCTGTCCTCTAGAAGATACTAAAATGGCCCTGAATCTCTACTGAAACTCCTCTCAACTGTGGCCTGAGTTAATCACAGGAAATTGCTGTGAGACTCACTCATCTTTGGCAGCAGTACAGGCTTGCTGACTTCAGTTCCATGGTAGTTTCTGAAACAGCCTTGAATCATGACCCTCATCCTTCTCAGCTGTGGGCTGTGAGTAGTCTTGCCAGCTCAGGGATACAGAGGGAGGGCATGTGCATCCATGTCCCGACTGGGAGACCGTTGACCTAGGTTTCACAGCGCATCCTGAAATGGGCCAGAAAAGGGGGTTCAACCCTTCTCAGCTATGCTAGAGAGCAGTTTGCCCACACAGGGACCTGGAGAGAGACACCATAAGTGCCCCTAAAGGTACAGACCTTAGTTTTATTTCAGATCTTGAAACAATCCTGTGATCCAGCTCCAGCCCATCTTAACTACAGTCTGAAGCAAGTTTGCCTGCCCAGATACCTGCCAGAAAACACACTCATCCATGACCCCAGAGACAGACATGAAGACACTGGTTTCAGCTATAGACTCCGAGGAAACCTTGTGACTTAGCACTAACTCCTCTCAGCCACAGGTTGAGGAACCCACTCAGAGACCCATGAGCAGCCTTCCCAGAAAACTAGATAAACTCTCCCCCAACTACACACCTAATAATAGACCCACCATCTACAGACCCTGAAGTGGACCCTCATTCCCTCCCCAGCCCTATAGAGTATGATGCTAGAGCCAGTTTGGTCCTCTGAGGGACTAAGGAGGATACAAGCCTGCTAGAAGCCCTAGTAACAGGATCATGAACCAAAGATCCCACTCTGGACCCATAAGCAACCATGTGATCCGGCTGTAACCCCATTCAACCATGACACTGAAGGCAATCTCATCAGCCCAGGACCCTAATAGGAGAAGGTCTTAACCTACCGAAACCAGTCTGTAAAGACTGAAAGAGATGTCTGCTCTTTCAAGTGCACAGACACCAGTACAAGGATAAACAAATAACAAAGCATCAGACATATATGACACCACCAAAGGAAATGAATAAAGCTTTAGCAGATGATTCAAATAAATGGAGATCTATAAGTTTTCTTTAAGATAATTCAAAACAATCATCTTTAAAAATCTCAGTGAGATGCAAAAGAAGAGAGTACTAAAAACTCTAAAACAAAAATACATGAACAAAATAAGAATTTAATAAAGAAATATAAACCACTAAAAACAACCAAACAAAAATTCTGGAGCTGAAGAACACAATGAAAGAAAGAAAGAAGTCAATAAAGAGTTTCAATACCTGACTCAAACACACAAAAGAATTAGTGAACTCAAAAAAGAGTCATTTAAAATTAACAAATTAGAGTAAAAAAAGAAAAAAGAATAAAAAGTGGCAAATAAAGCATAAGAGACCTTTGAGACACCACCAAGAATATGGTATAGAAAGTATGGAAACTTCAGAAGGAGAAGAGAGAGATAAAAGGTCAAAAATATTTTTTCTTTAAAGACATACTGTCTGGAAACCTTCCTCACTTGGGAAGGATATGGAAATCCAGACTCATGAAGCTCAATGAATCATAAGCAAGATCAGCCCAAAAAACACTATTATGAAGCACAATATAATCACATTGTCAAAAGTCTAAGATAAGAGAATCTTGTGGGGGGTTTTGTTTATTTTTTAGCTTAACGTGATCCCATTTATCCATCTTTGCTTTGGTTTCCTCTGCTTGTGGTGTATTACTCAAAAAATCTTTGGCCAGTCAATTGTCCTTGATAATTTTTCCAATTTTTTTTTCTTTCAATTTTTATTTTTAGATACAGGGAGTACATGTGCTGGTTTGTTACATGAATTTTTCCAATTTTTTTTCTTTCAACTTTTATTTTCAGATACAAGGAGAACATGTGCTGGTTTGTTACATGGGTATATTACACCAGGATAGTGAGTATAATCCAAAGTAGGTAGTTTTCTGAACTATTCTTCCCTACTGTCCTCTCCCCTCTAGTAGTCTGCGGTACCTGTTGTTCCCATATTTTTGTCTAAGTGTGCTCCGTGCTTGGTTTCCACTCATAAGTAAGAACCTTCAGTAGTTGGTTTTCTGTTCCTGCATTGATTTGCTTAGGATTATGGCCTCCAGCTCTGTCCATGTTGCTATAAAGAACATGGTTTTATTCTTTTTTATGGCTGTGTACTAGTCCATGGAGTATATATGCCACATTTTCTTTATGCAATTCATCACTGATGAGCACGTAAGCTGATTCCATATCTTTGCTGTTGTGAATAGTGCTGTGATAAAAACGAGTACATGCATCTTTTTGATATAATGATCTATTTTCATTTGGATATATTCCCAGTAGTGCAATTGAGGGTCAAATCATAGCTCTGTTTGAAGTATTATGAGAAATCTCCAAACTGCTTTCCACAGTGGTTAGTCTAGTTTACATTCCCACCAATAGTGTATTAGCATTTTCTTTTTTCTACAGCCTCACCAGCATCTGTTGTTTTTGGACTTTTAAATAGTGGTCATTCTGACTAGTGTGAGACGGTATCTTATTGTGGTTTTGATTTGCATTTCTCTGATGATTAGTGATGATAAGTGTTTTTTAATACGCTTGTTGGATACTTGTACGTCTTCTTTTAAGGAGTGTCTGTTCATGTCCTATGCCCATCTTTAAATGAGGTTATTGTTTTTCCTTGTTGTTCTGTTTAAATTCCTTACAGATTCCAGATATTAGACCTTTGTCAGATGCATAGTTTGCAAATAAATTTTCCCATTCTGCAGGCTGTCTGTATATTTCATTAACAGTTTATTTTGCTGTGCAGAAGCTTTTTAGTTTAATTAGGTCTCATTTATCAATTTTTGTTTTTATTGCCATTGATTTTAAGGACATAACCAAAAAATTGTTTGCCAAGGATAATGTTGAGAAGGGTATTTCCTAGGTTTTCTTCTAAAATTTTTAGATTGAGGTATAACATTTAAAATTTTAATTATCTTGAGTTAATTATTCTATATGGTGAAAGGTAAGGGTCCATTTTAACTCTTCTGCACATGGCTAGCCAGTTATACCAGTGATACAGGAACTAGAAAGAAATTATTTAGGCAGATAGTGAGGGTGAAGGAATCCTCAGCAAGGCTTCCCTTTAAACAAAAAGCAGCCCCAAATAACTTCTTTTCTAACAAAGAGTAGCCTGAAAAATCGAGCAGCAGACGTAGATAAGCAGCCTGGAAGGTTGCATGCATGAATGATGGCAGCTGTGCCAATAGAAAAGGGACTGACTGGAAGTCAGGTATTTTCAACATGGAGGCTCCATCTTCCCTTTTCTTTGTCACTAGTAAAGAACCAGGGAACATGGCACAGGCCAGGTAGACAACCATCTGCATAATAAAAGATTAGGGTTGAGTGGCCAGCTTCTTTAAGCGCTATGCAAATGGCATGCCTGGTCTGACCAATCTTTCATGCCCTATGTAAATCAGACCCTGCCCCCTCAAGCTCATCTATAAAACCCACATTTCACTGCAGAAGCAGCAACCCATTTTCTCCAGTATACCTCCCTGTGCAGAGATCTCTTCTCTTTCTTTTGTCCATTAAACCTCCTCTCTTAACCTCACTCTGGTGGGTTCACGTCCTGGTTTTCTGTGGTCATGGGACAACAAACCTCAGAAATTACCCCAGACAACAAGGCGATTTCATCAGCATCATTTATTGAATAGGGCGTCCATTTATATCCCTTTTTTTTTTTTTTTTTTGTCTTTTTCAAAATCAGATGGCTGTTAAGTGTGCAGCTTTATGTCTGAGTTTTCTATTCTGCTCCATTAGGATAGATGTCTACTATGTACCATACCATGCTGTTCTGATTACTGTAGTCTTATTGTAAAATTTGAAATTGGACAATGTAATGCCTCCAGCTTTCTTCTTTTTGCTTAAAATTGCTTTAGCTATTCAGGCTCTTTTTTGGTTCCATATGAATTTTAGAACAGTTTTTTCTAATTCTCTGAAGAATGGCATTGGTAGTTTGACAGGAATTGCACTGAATCTGTAAATTGCCTTAAGCAGTATGGCCATTTTAACAATATTGATCCTTTAAATACATAAGCTTGGAAAGTTTTTCCATTAATTTGTGTTATCTTTGATTTCTTTCAGTAGAATTGTGTAGTTCTCCTTGTAGAGATCTTTCACCTCCTTGGTAGGCTGTATTCCTATGTATTTCATTTTCTTTGTGGCTTACATAAATGGGATTGTGTTTTATATTTTACTCTCAGCCTAGACATTATTAGTGTATGGGAATGCTATGCTTTTGGTACATTGATTTTATTGATAACAAAAGTCTCTATCCTGAGACCTTAGACTAAGATCATTTACCAGTTCTAGTAGCCTTTTGGCAGTCTTTTTTCATCTTTTAATTTTAGGTTTAGAATACACGTGAGGGTTTATTACATAAGTAAACTCATGTCGTGAGGGTTTATTTACAAATTATTTCATCGCCCAAGTATTAAGCCCAGTACCCAATAGTTATCTTTTCTGCTCCTCTCCCTCCTCCTACCACTCTCCACTCTCAAGTAGACCCCAGTGTCTGTTGTTTCCTTCCTTGTGTTCATAAGTTCTCATCATTTAACTTGTACTTATAAGTGAAACCATGCAGTATTTGGTTTTCTGTTCCTGTTAGTTTTCTGAGGATAATAGCGTTTATCTCCATCCACATTCCCACTGAATATATAATCTTGTTCTTTTTTATGGCTGCATAGTATTCCATGATGTATATGTAGCACATTTTCTTCATCCAGTCTGTCACTGATGGGCATTTAGATTGATTCCTTGTCTTTGCTATCATAAATAGTGCTGCAGTGAACATTGACATACATGTGTCATTAAGGTGAAATGATTTATATTCCTCTGGATATATACCCAGTAATGGGATGGCTGGGTCAAATGGTAGTTCCTCTTTTAGCTTTCTGAGGAATCACCATACTGCTTTCCATAAAGGTTGAACTAATTTACACTCTCATCAATGGTGTATAAGTGTTCCCTTTTCTCCACAACCTTGCCAGCCTTTTTTTTTTTTTTTAACTTTTATATAGTCATTTTTACTAGTATAAAGTGATATCTCATTGTGCCTTTGATTGCATTTCTGTAATGATTTGTGACATTGAGCTTTTCTTCATATGCATGTTGGCTGCATGTATGTCTTCTTTTGGAAAGCGTCTGTTCATGTTCTTCGCCCACTTTTTAATGGAGTTTGTTTTTCTCTTGTAAATTTATTTATGTTCCTTATATATTCTGGTTATCAAACCCTTATCAGATACATAGTTTGCAAATATTTTCTCCCATTCTGTAGGTCGACTGTTGACTCTGTTGATAGTTTAAGAAACTCTTAAGTTTAATTAGATCCCACTTGTCAATTTTTGCTTTTGTTGCAATTGTTTTTAGTGTCTTTGTCATGAAATCTTTGCTCATTCCTATGTCCAGGATGGTATTGCCTAGGTTGCCTTTCAGGGCTTTTATGGTTTTGAATTTTACGTTTAAGTCTTTAATCCATTTGGAGTTAACTTTTGTATATAGTGTAGGGAAGGGGTTCAGCTTCATTCTTCTGCATATAGCTAGACAGTTATCCAAGCACTATTTATTGAATAAGGAGTCTTTTCCCCATTTCTTGTTTTTGCCAGCTTTCTTGAAGATCAGATGATCATAAGTGTGCAATCTTATTTCTGGGCTCTCTATTCTGTTCCATTGGTCTATGTGCCTGTTTTTGTGCCAGTGCCATGTTGTTTTGGTTACTATAGCTCTCTATTATAGTTTTAAGTCAGATAATGTGATGCTTCTAGCTTTGTTCCTTTTGCTTAGGATTGCCTTAGCCACTGAGACTCTTTTTTGGTTCCATATGAATTTTAAAATAGTTTTATTTATCTAGTTCTGTGAAGAATATCTTGGTAGTCTGATTAGATATGGCACTGAATTTGTAAATTGCTTTGGGTAGTATGGCCATTTTAACAATAATGATTCTTCCTATCCATGACCATGGGATGCTTTCCCATTTGTTTGTGTCTTCTCCGATTACTTTGAGCAGTGTTTTGTAATTCTCACTGTAGAC